ACAGTAAGGGTGAGAAGCTAGGTTACCGTCAGAACCAACCACCTTAACAAAACCTCAAATATTGTACGCACAACAACCTTGTTAGTTTTGAAATATTTAACAAATAGGAAATCGCACATTGGGATGCAATGCACCTGAATAGTTAAACGTTTCTAAATATTTTTTGTAATGGCTGTGTGTTTCATCCCGGCTTTTGCTATCTCTTTTCTCATTTGTAGCTCTTTTCTTTTAATCAAATTTCAAATCTTGATTTCTTTTTCTTCTCTTTTTTATTGTTTTTCGCTCTTTGTTTTTCCCTTGTTATTTTGTCACTCTTTCTTTCTTCTTTTTTCTTCTTCTTTTTCACTTGGTTTAATTAATGGAAATGATCGAATACGATGGGGATTGCCTACGTATCATGATGCCGCATGAATTAGACCATTACGTAGTTCAGGAGAATAAATGCGAAATGAAAGAAAAGAATTTTTTTGGGGTTTTCAATATTTCATTAATAAATAAAAAAAATCCTTTTGAATTTTTCTATTACAAAGACTCGGAAATACTGATGACTAAAAAGAAACATATAAACTCAAAACAGAACAATAAAACATACTCGACATGGATGAAAAGACGAACAGACTCGATAAGAAGTAAAATACATACTCAAAAGCCGAAAAATCAAGAATACTTAAGAGCCTCCAATACAATTCCGGGGGCCCTCGGGACATCAGTCAGGTACATTCTCAACGATGCTCATTCTGCACAAAAATTAAGGACAAAGATCAAAACCGACACATTTTCCAAAAATACAAAGTGGTTAATTTTGAAAATCCAAATCAGTAAATTTTGTAACAAAAAGTTTTTTTTTTTTTTGCAAATACGACCCTTCAGCACTGGAGGAAAGTTTTTAGGGCTGTTTCTGCCAACTGAGGTTGGTTATAGGAGAAAATACTTACTTGGATTTATATTGTGGCTATTCTTGCGAAAAGAGCCTTTCGGCGCTCAAGGAGAACGTTTTAAGGCTATTTTGACAAGAATGGCCCCGGGTGATGATCATGTTTCAAAAGGTTCTTATTTTGGTGAGTTTTGCAAAAAATGAGTCCGGACCTGATAGGTGTTGCCTACGTATCTCACATCCGGTGAGAATCAGACCCGCGTAGTTCGGTAGGTTTTGACGCAACAGGAAAATACGACTTATTTTAAAAACGACCTTTCTTTCTTTTTTTCTTTTTTTTTTTTTAAAAAATTTTGGCAGAGTTTCAGGACTTTTCAAATACCTGAATTTTCAAAACCGGGTAAATTTTCTCTTTCCTACCTCACTCTTAGTTTTTCTTGATTCCCTTTCCCTATTCTAGAAGCCGGTCAACATGCAAGTCGGAACAAAACATATGCACAAGTAGCACGTAAAAATGCATCAGGATGGTGTTTTATATTGGGTACACTTGTCCTAGATGGACCCAACCCCCTGTGTTGAGTCCCCAAAGTCAAATGCACATGATGCAAACAAACGTTCCTACTAGGGATCTGGCATGAGGCTATGATATCCTAGGTTTAAATCTTGGGTGTGTTGTTCTAGACCTGGCTTACCCAAGCGGACAACTCGAGCCAGGGAGGGAGGAAAGGGGGGGCAGCGTACCGTGAATACAGAAGTTTCACCGGCTTTGTAACTTGTCCGATCCTCGTTCTAAAATTAGGGTATGACTCTAATAGAAAAAGAAGCCACATGAAACGCACGCTTCCCAGAAGATTTAGAAGACTCAAAGAGAAGAAGGGTTTTCATAATAGTTAATATACAGTTCACGAAAATATCAAAGCGGTAAATAGAGGCAATCAGCACATTAGGCTCAAACACGTAAAAAATCAGATAATAAACAAAAGTCAAGTATAACAGTTATTCTAAGCTCGAATTCTGAACCTTGAACCAGAGATTCTGGGATCCTATCCCTAGTAGAGTCACTAAAGCTGTCACACCTCCATTTTCTCGATGGATAGGGGAGTTTTTCCAATTAAAGTGACATTGTTCAAAATAAGATTATTTATTTAATTCAGAGTCTCCACTTGGAATAATTATTATGGTGTTCCAAGTCACCATAATTTAATTCGAGAAAATTGACTCTATTTATGGTCCGCGAACACAGAAGATCGGGTAAGGAATTCTGTTAACCCGGGAGAAGGTGTGAGGCACTTTCGAATTCCGTAATTTTAGCACGGTCGCTTAACAATTAATACTTGGCCTAATTATCTGATTTTTTTACTTTTTAATTATCTGATTTATTACCTGTTTTGAACATATTGTGCATTTTACCTTTGACCGCTTTTAATTATGTATTTAAATCGCTTTTTAGTATTTATGGAGTAATTTTTTTAACAAGTTACGATGTCGTACACTTGTCGTTTGGTACACATTGCAAACTGCGCCACGTGAAACGCACCTGCGATTTATAATATGTTTATTACTATTATTTGTAAGTTATGGTCAAGTCGCGTGAAATGCGCACTCGAATTGGGGTTTACGTATCGTGACTATGCAACGGGAACCATACTCATAGTCGTGATAATTTATTAATCGCGCCTAAAGCAAGCTATGATGTTTATGAATTATTTGTCTTAAACTAATTTGAAATTTGTAAAGCCATAAGAGTATGTCATTGTAGAAAAGTATGAAATAGATTAAATTAATTATTCAAGGATTACAAAAGGGGGCCACTGTATGAGATTAATAGGCCTAGCAGATTTCAAGTTTTGGCCCAAAGATAAAATAACTTTCTTCATTAGCTTATAGTAACCTCACAACCCACTTTCTTCAACGACCCATGTGTCTAGGCCCAAAAATTGGATCTTCACCAGTGACATAATTCTAGTTAAACTTGTTTAACAACATAACTTTATACTTTAGACAATTGACAGCTTAATTTAAAACAAAGATGAAACTACTAAAGCATATTTATTAACACATGAAGGACTAAATAACCAAACAGAGACATAACCTTGCATGAGCTTCCATTTCAATAAGAAATTATTATTTTTATGAACAATCACAACTCACTTATCAATTAGCAAATTTCATTAAACCATTCATGGATAAACCCTTTTTTAAGAGAACATACTAATGAACTAAGATAAATATACAAAGAGTTAGCTCAAAATTTGGTAGCGTGCTTAATAGAGAATAATTTCATTCATTCAAGATATAAATGAATACCAAAGAACACCAAAAGAAAAAGAAACAACGCATATCATTAATCAAAACAAGATAAGAAGTGAACCTCAAAAGTTGAATCTGAAACTTTACGGTTTTACAGCTTTGAATCTTAAACACATTCAAACTGCACGCAAGACCTCAAACGAAGCATCAAAACTCGTCGGCGACCTCAACTAAAAACCTCACTGTTTCGACTGGGTTTGGATGATAGTTTCTGGTATTAAAAGGGCTGTTCTGTGGAGGTTTAATTATTATTTTTGGGTGGTGAATCTGCTGGGGTTTTTTCGAAAGAAAGACGAAAAAAGAATGACACGAAATAAAATTTCCTTAGCGTAGAAGGGGCAAAAACATTTCTCTCAAATCCCTCCACTCTTTTTTTTTTTTATCTTTTTCTCTCTTTTTTTCTTATTACATTTCTCTTCTATTCATAGAAAAATTTTCTGAATTTTTTTAGATTTTTAAAATTATTTTATTATTTTATTCTTTTTTAATTAAAAAGAATTTCCACTTCTCATTTTTCTTCTTTTTTAAAAAAAAATAATAATTCTCCACTTTCCTTTACTTTTATTTTTTAATTTCTCACCTTTTTACTTTTATTATATTTAAATTTTTACTTTTCTTTTTTTATTTTCCACTTATTTTACTTTCTTTTTTTTAATTTCCACTCTCTTTTAATTTTTTTTTAAAAATAAATTCAGCTACCTTTACTTTTATTTTTTAATTCCAACTTTTTTTATTTTTTATTTTTTAAATTTTCACATTCTTTTACTTTTCTTTTTTTAATTTTCTTTTACTTTTTATTAAATATTTTTCATCTGCTTTTACTTTTACTTTTTAATACCATACTTCTACTTTTCCTTTTTTTTTATTCAAATATTTAATTTTTTTCGGGTTTTTAATTTATTTTATTTTAAAATAAAGATAAAGATAAAAATAAAAATAGTATTAATAGTAATAATTGACCTTTTAAATTATTTATAATTTTTATCCTATATATAAAAAAAATATCACAAAGCTAAAAAATTATATATTAAATTTCTAAAAATATTTACAGAATAAAAGGTGATAAAAATTTAAATATAGTCAAAAATTAGGTGCTCACAGTAGTGGAAGAAAAAATTTCACCTAAAAACTGCCATAAACCAGATGTTGGTAACTTGAAAAGAAATTTCAAGTGATCTTATTTCATGAACAAACAATATTTTTAATTTTTTTATAAAAAAAAAATAGTTGTCAAAAGCGAAACGGAAGCTTAAAATCTTGCACAAATATTCTCAAAAAACGTGTTTGTTTAAGATTTCTCAAGAAGTATTTCCAAAAAGAATTTCAAAGGGTGCTGTTTTTGAAGTGGTTTAAAGATATTTTCCACAGGTTACTTTCGGCACAAATATTTGGTTACCAGAATTGTTCTTATTATTATTATAGACGAATGCTTAAATGACCCACGTCTTCTAAATTATATCCCGCATATGCATTTGTTGATCTCTCACTTTCTCCCATTATATCAACGAATTCTCTATAATTTGTAAACTTATATCAGCTAATTGTTCTTGAATAGCACCCTGCATCACTAGTGATTTCTTAATTGTGAAATGTATCTAAACCTTGGGCAGTAAGAAAAGTGGAAATTACATTTCCACTATTGAATATCATATGCAAATGAACATCCGGATAATAAGAAGTTATTGCTCCTTTTTTGTGACTTCGAACTCACAATCCTAGGGTTGTAGGCGAGAGGTGCTTGTCTAAGTGGGCACTTATAGTTATGAGCCTAGCAAAAGAAATTAATTAGCAGAGTTCACACAGTATTTATGAATGATTTTTCGGAGGAATATATAACATCCATCTGCTAATATTTTCCAAAAAATTACACAACCAGAAATGGACAGAAACTGAAGTTGGGATGATGAATAAACTACAGGCTAAATGATATAACCTTCTTACATAAGATACATATACAAGAACATTTATACATACTACTATAAAAAAATCTAAGAGATTATACACTATACTTGGGTATTAATTAAAACATCAAAAATCATGGTTTCAACAAGGAGCAAAACGGTCCATGAGCAAGAACACAGTTGCTTCACACATTGTGTTGTCATTCTTTGTCTCTGCCACTGAAGTAGAAGAAGAATTCTGGCTATTTTTGCTTTCTTCCACTTTATCCCCTGACTTTTTCTTCTTCTGAGATTTCAACAAGAAAAAGCTTCTGTTTCTCACCTTCTCACTTAGCTTTGTAATCTCACACACACAAGCATCAACTACTGTTGCCATTTCCTTTTTTAGGCAAAGTTTCTCTCTTTTTCTCTTCTTTTGCTTATGTAAGTAATCTTGAAAATATATAAAACTCAGATATATGAAATTGAAAAGTGAAAAAGGGTCTACTTATATAGTATGAAATCAGAAGCTTTGGTGGGGTAGAGAATCCAGGGTGGGGGTGGAGTGGTCCTTGTGGAATTGAATGGTTTTTAAAAAAATCTATATGCAGATGATACACGGAATTGGTATATTTTAGTGGGATATTCCCCTAGGTATATAGTACAAGTATTAATTTTTGAATATTCAAAATTACTAGTTAACCGAATACGTTGAATAAAAAGTAAGAGGATAATTTAGATAATCAATTTTTCTAAACTATATCCATGCATCTGGAAGGTACACAAGTGTATATTACAAACAACAATTTCTAATCTTAAAAATATTTGAGTAATGTTATCATAAAAGCAAAAGGAGAAGGAAAGAGAAATGCAAAGAACTGAAATGATAAACATGAAAGAAATTGAGAAATTATAATGAAGCTGACTAATTTGTTAGTTTCTTAGCTTAGGACCACAAATGAATTCAAAAGTTTTTTGTTTTCACTTTCTATTGCGTAGAAAGTTGTAAATGATTGACAAAACAGTGTTCCATTTCTACAGACGGTGCTACTTGTAATGCCTTCAACCACGTGATTGGTGGGCTTAATTTTAACTTTGTTTTTATTCTTTTTTCTTTTTTCTTTTTGATTTAATTTTTTTTGAATTCTAAAAAAATAAGAAAACGAATAGAATCTTTAATGATACTGGGAATTTTCCCCACTGCGACGCGTATTAGGTTAACATTAGATGATATAACGGGTGAAAGTTATTTTCATACTTTGTTTCACATGTCAATTTGGTGCAGGTGGACTAATGTTTTTGCTGAGTAATAAGGGTTCGTTTGCTACAATGGTATATCTCAAAATATTTTATGGGATATTTAATGAGATTAGTCATTCTACTTTTTATATGGGATAATTAATTCCATCATTTTAGGGATTGTTTGGGTGGGAAACAAGTTATCACATGATTAATTATTCCGAGATTAGTTATCTCACTCTCCCATAGGGATAAAAAAATAATATAATCTTGAGATAATTAATTTCGAGATTAGTTATACTTCGATTTTATCTCAACCAAACATGAAATAAGCGCATCTCAAATTTAATCTCGGGATTAATTATCTCTTATCCCTCATATCAAACGAGCCTTACGGGTCATTTAGTTGGGAAACAAATTATTTCATGATTAATTATTTCGGGATTAGTTATCTCACTCTCCCATCGGGATAAAAAAAATACTACAGGTATAACTAATCTCGGGATTAATTATACCATAATTTTATCTCAATTAAATATGAGATAAACTCATATCAACCTTAATTCCGGAATTAATTATCTTTTATTCATCATACCAGACGAGCCCTTAGTGTAAAAGTTATGCTGAAATTAATTAAAACTCCTAACCAAATATGAAATATAATTAATCGTAAAATTTATTATGTGACTATTATTCTTATCTCACGTAACAAATAACTACTAAAGGACTGATTTATAACCCGATTAAATAACTTTAAGGGTGACTCGTGATTGAACATGTATGCTGGCATGACTCATAAATAATTGTACTACTAAGATCTTATCCGAATTGCTCATTCCAATAATGTAAATGAAATTATTGCATTCCAAGTCATATATAACAAGGCTTCTAGACTATTGAGCTGACTTTGTACTTAATAGACTTGATTGCTATGACCTTTCTCCATTATCTATTTGCCAAACACTTTGCTACTTTGAAGATAACGATGAACCAAGTTGTGATGATAAAAAGAAACTACCATTATTTTGAAGTAATAAAATAACTCACATTTGAATTGTATTTTTTTAAATTTCAACAATGTAAAAAATTATGGAGATCTCTGATTTAGATGAGAAATACTCAAGATACCAATTCAAAAATGCGAAAACAATAAAAGTATTGTTTTGTTTAAAATGTAATATAGAGTAAATATCTATTCAATAGTTCATACTAATGCTTTAAATTGTTGGAAGGATAAATTCTCTTCATAAGGAGAATATTTTAGTGGAGTTTCTTAAGGAAAAGTTATCCTATAGGAGTATATAACAACAACAACCCACTAAAATCTTACTAATGGAGTTTGGGGAGGGTAGTGTGTACGCAGACCTTACCCCTACCCCGAAGGAGTAGAGAAACTGTTTTCGAAAGACCCTCGGCTCAAAAAAATAAAAAGATAAAAGAGGCAAAAAGGAAGACAATATTAGTATCACAACAATAATCATAGGATAAATAAGAACACCATTAAATCCAGAAGAAAGATGTAAAGTAAAGGGAGACAATATTAGTATATGTTAATTAGAAATACGGCAGAATTGGATGTGTCTAATAATCACATGCAAACTTTACAATCTTCTGAAGGGTATTATTATATATATATTTACCTATGAATGAATGTAACGGGGGTGTAGCTCATATGGTAGAGCGCTCGCTTCGCATGCGAGAGGCACGGGGTTCGATTCCCCGCACCTCCATACTTTTTAAGACAGAAAATCTATTGGCAAATGATCGAAAGAATCAAAATTAACTCTTTCGCATTTCTGTTAATAGGTGTCACTTAACACTAATTATATATCTACAATAATGTTATTCAAGAAACAAAAATAAGACCTATACTTTCCTAAAGTACTCAACATTTTCCTTTCTTTAAGGACTAACACAAACCATAATCATAGAGGCTGAATCATCAGAACATTTCATCTTGGTTAGTAAAATTAACCAAAGATGAAATAGGTTCAGCAGCTACAGCTTGAACCTGACCCGTCTTGTTCCTCAACTTAAGCAAACTCATAAATATCTACGAGCCTCTGACATAAATATCTTGTTCCTTCAACTCTCTCTCTCTGAGAAAACTTTTTCAACCTCACCCCACAAGAAAGAGAAAATTTTATCCACTAGATTCTACAGATATTTTGTTTCTTTTATTCCAATTTCTATGGTATCACAAATCGCTGTTATATATATAATTATGGTTGTCTGTGAGGGAAAGATAAAGACTGAAAAGGTTTTTTTTTTGAATTTCAAAGCGGCCGCACATATTTCCAATTCTATAAACATTCAGTTTGTTGTTCTAGATTCACAAGTATCTGTGTGTGCCTCTTTTTAAGATATTCCGGGGTCGGTCCAAAACCCGAGCTATTCCCAAGTGATAATCTGGTAGTGTGGGGATTTGCTTCTCCTGTTCAAAACCATGTGCTCCTTTTTATCCTTTTAGTCCATACACTAGTCATAGTATTTTTCTTGCATTTCAAATCGGATGTATTGGTTCTATAGAAGATTCCACATCACTAAACTCTAATTTGTAGACAAACACAAGATCTTATATTTCAACATTTGAGGTAGATTCCATATCACTAAACTCTAATCTGTCAGTCAAACACAAGATCTTATATTTCAACGTTTGAGTTGAGGTAGATTCCATATCACTAAACTCTAATTTGTTAGTCAAACACAAGATCTTATATTTCAACGTTTGAGTTGAGGTAGATTCCATATCACTAAACTCTAATTTGTTAGTCAAACACAAGATCTTATATTTCAACGTTTGAGTTGAGGTAGATTCCATATCACTAAACTCTAATTTGTTAGTCAAACACAAGATCTTATATTTCAACGTTTGAGTTGAGGTAGATTCCATATCACTAAACTCTAATTTGTTAGTCAAACACACGATCTTATATTTCAACAATTGAGGTAATCTATTGACATATTTTCATTTTACAATAGTTGAATGGGCCAATTGGCATTCCACTCACTTTATTGAGAAACAATGGCATACACTTACGACAAGCTAGGAGAAGCTGATGACAATGAACATGGTTTATACCAATCAACTTCCAAGTTGCTGCCTTCATCCTATTCCTCTGGATTGCTAGTATGCCTTGCCCAAAAGCAACTGTATCCGCTAGACACGAGTCCCAGCGACCTGAAAAAGCACATTCGTTCCTTTTCTACCTTAAGCTACAAAATCTTTTCCTTTTCTCTTGTCCCTGTAAGCATCCAGTGACAGTATGGTTGTGAGAGTGGAGGGTGGTGGCAGGCAAAGATCAGGTCCGCTCCAGCCACTTGCTCCATCATACTTGTGTAGGAACATCCCTTGAACTTATGAGAAATTTGCAGTCATTAAAGACATTTACAGGATACAAGTGCTCTGTGGTAAGACCAGACCCCAACTAGAGCAATACCAGGAGCTAATAAGGTACCCACTTCGCGTTCCTCACTGCCTGAGGCAAAAGTCATGTTTTGGATGACATACAAATGACATTAGCCAACCTTCATCATGTCTATAAGCAGCTGTGGGAAGTGTGCATTGCTTCGTCAACATCAAATACAAAGCAACCAATAGACTCAGACCTACCAAACAAATACAAAAGAGGCAGGCTTAGCACAAAAACTTGACACAAACAATTGAAAATAGTAATCTAATAAAATAAATCTTGAAGAGTGTGGCATACGTATTAATGCATAGCTACATCTGTAATGAAGCCAATACCAAAAATGCTGGAAAGGTAATTCCACATAGTTCGACTGTAATCATTGATGTATGCCAAGGAATCCTTCAGAGCATCCACAGCTTGACTTCCAGATTTTCATCGTACCAAATGATATTTTGAAGTTGTTATTGACTTATTGCCAAGTAATGGACATGGAGGGAGATTGCTACCCTTTGGAGCACATTAAATTGTCTTTCAGCTGTGCTTGAACCATGATCAAAGTGCTGTAAAAGTTAGATCTGAAGTTCCAGTATTTGCATATGCAGATTCAAGTAAGGAACATGCAGCAGTTTCTCAAAAGGCATCACATAAAGGAAGAACAGGTAGCAGTTGCAGATGAGAGTATCCTACCTACAGCCTTCAAGTTAGATCCTCAAATTCGCTTTGCATAGACTGCATCAGAAAACTACCAATCCTCCCAGTTACAAGGAGATCCAAGATGTATAAACAAGATTATCTAGTTATGCCTAGAAAATGCATTAAACAAGATTTCTAGAATATTTCTC